AAGCTATTTCTTACTGTATAACTATTGGGCTCTACTCTTTCTTTCTCACTTAAAAGGTAATGTTTATTTTATCAATTTAAATTTAAAATTAAAATTTTATTATAATAAATTTTTTTAAAAATAATCACATTTAATTTTTTTATTATAATAAAATTTTTTAATATAAAATCACATTTTTATTAAAATTAAAAATTTAAATTAATAAATTAAATAGATTAAGAGTCTCTTTTTACATTTTTAATTTCTTCTATTAGTTCGCTTCTTCTTATAGATATCGTTTATTTTATAAATTTAAATTTTTAATTCAAACTGAAATGTGATATTTTTTAAAAATTTTCTATTATAATAAAAAAAATTAAATATGATATTTTTTAAAAAAATTTTATTATAAAAATTTAAAATTAAAAACTCAAATACCTAAAATAACTCCCGACTTCTTTCCTCTCTCCTCTGTTTCAACTCAAAGTATTCTCTCCTCCATACACGCTCAGACTCCTCATTACGGGCATACCCTCTCTCTCTTCTCTTTCCCATCAACCATAAATGACATTAAAACCTTCAAGAAAGATATATTGAAGACAGAGACATTATTCGTCTTTTCTCACTTTAATAAATATATACACTACTCACGGACAGAGACGTTATTCGTCTTTTCTAACTTTAATAAATATATACAGTGCATAAGACAGAGACATTATTATTTGGTGGAACGTTAACTATAACATTCAATCTATAGTAAGCAATCCAGTATTATTCATCCTAGCTTTAGAATGATAAGGTAATATATGTTTCTAAGGCTATATAGAAATTGGCCATTACCTTAAGGTGATTATTTCTTCTTGGTAATTTGGAAAAACGGAACTTAACAAGTTAATCTATGTGAATGACTTATGGAAAATATAAAGCAACTTGAATTTAGAAATGTTACTTATAATGCAAAATGGATTTAGAAATGTTTCTTGATAAAATTCGTTATACAATATTTTACCATGTACAAGCAATAGAATACCAGAAGACGAATGATGAATAGCAGAGAATAAACAATCACAAATGTCCTTATAGAGTAGTTGTGTCAATATGGACAAAAAAAAGTGCCAAACTAGTAATACTATAGAGAAAACCGACTCATGTCAAGCAAGCTACTTCATATGCACATTTCGTACTCTCTCTGTCAACCCGAAAAGTGCAAAAGGAAAAGAAAAATACGAAGTGAAAAAAGAAACCCAGAAATGCAAAAGATTCTGGATTAAGAGAACAGACAAGGACAAACATGATAAGAGGGTATGTTCGTAATGATGATCATGTCTATGTCTATTGTTTGGTTGGACAATTCATTTCAACTTAATTCTTGAGTCCGAGAGAATTTTCAATTGGCATTTAGTAAGGGTATTAATTATATATAATTGAATGAGATATTTATTTGAGTTAAAACTTTTTAATTTTTTTTGGTCCGTTTATTTCACATATTCAAGTTTTATTATAGTAATTTTTTTTTTAAAAACAATTACATTTAATTTTTTTACTATAGTAAAAAGTTTTCACATAAAATCGTATCTCAACTCGAATTAAAAATTCGAATCAGCGAATTAAATAGATCATTAATTTAACATTTTGAACTTATTTTTTACAGTAGACTCACTTCACTTTTTAGATTTTTGTCTAAATCTTTTTGATTCAGAAATTCTCATGCATCAACAAGCTCTCCTATTTTTAACCGTTTTCCTGTATTAGACCATTGAATGTGGTTTGCACTTGTATCTGTGGTGTTACAAATGTAATTGCCTTTTATCTTGCTGTTTAAAAATATTGTGGAAATCAACTCCAACAAAAAAAATTACAAAAATAATTGTGGATATCCTAGTGATACACACACACACGACATTAGAACAATTTATGTGGCATTAGAACATTATTGTGAAAATGAGCTCCAACAGAAAATTTTAAAAAATTATTGTGGATACAAATAATGATTTATGTGATGAACAAGAAAACTTAAAAGAAAATAATGAAAAACACCAAAAATTTGCTGCCCAAACAAAACGCACTTCAAATGTTGGACTTATGCTCCATATGTAATTTCCGTCCAAATTTTGCCACCACACCTGTACGAGAGTGTTTCCAATTAGTGTTTAGTAAGAATATTAATTGCAATTAAATGGGGCATTCAATTTGAGCTGAAACCTTTCAATTCTCCCAATTCAACATTTTGAACCTATCTTCTACAGCAGATCCACTTCACTTTTCAGACGTTTACCTAATTTTTTCGATTCAAAGATTCCCTTACCTCAACAAGCTCTCCTGCTTTTGACCGTTTTCCTCTATTGGATCATGTGATTTGCACTTGTATCTGTGGTGTTACTAATATAATTGTCTTTTATCTTACTCCATAAAAATATTGTGGAAATCAGCTCAAAAAAATAGGGCCTTTTATGTAATGAAAGGATTATAATTACTATTCCAGTGATCTTTTTAAATGTAAGTTGACCTAAAAAAACCTATTGCAACAAAACTACCTAAATTAATGCAACGTAGAAAGTCACTTCAATTTTTACGCCCCGGAGACAGTAAGGGTGCAGACCACATGCTAAAGAGCTTTCATTTTTAAGTGACCTCTCCCTCTCTCCGTCTCTATCTCTCTCAAAATCAGATGAAGTGTGTTATGATGACATGAAGGGACCACTTGTAGATTTTATTTTATTTTATTTTATTTTTTTGGAGAAGAAGTGATAACTTGTATAAACTAGCTTCTTGTGAAGTATATTCATGCTTTTGTTTCGTTTTCTATGAAGTTCAAGTGGGTGTAGACGAGGAGGTTGGAGTGGAAAAGCTATGGAGATTTCGGGTTGGAACAAAGCACATGGCTTTGCATGCCTGCTTGGATTTTTGCAAATTCAGTATTGTGGAAATCAGCTCTAACAAAAAATAATAATAAAATCTTTGTCTCTAAATTGATCTAAATGCATATATTGATCTTGGAGATTGTGACTCAACATGTGAACATTGTGGAGCAATATTTTGGAATAATGAACGTATAGGAAAATACCCATATAAATATTCTTCATGTTGTCAGAATGGAAAAATAAAATTACCTTCTAAAAAAAAAACACCACTGATTTTAGATGAATTATTAAACTATTATGGTGGAAATCTAAGTATACATTTTAGGAAAAAATATAAGAATGTATAATTCAATGTTTTCTTTTACATCATTTGGAGCAAACATTCAATCAAATATTAATGAAACATTGGGGCCTTATATATTCAAGATTAGTGGTCAGACACATCATTTAATGGCCGGATCTTTACTTCCAGTTGATAACAATTCCTCAAAATTTGCACAATTATATATTTATGATATAGAAAATGAAATTCAAAATAGAATGTCAATATTTACATCAACGAATAGTTTAGATTCTTTAAATGAAAATATTATTACAAAATTA